ATAATTTGAAGGAATCTGTATCTAACATGTCTGGATATGTTTCTAGAGTATCTGAAAAATATTTCCTGCGAGTGAGCAAAGAAACAAATCTAATTACAGAAAAAGGTGCGGTCAGCCTTTTTCCCAAACGGGATTTTTCAAAAGTTAGTATGTGAAAACTAAACTGAAGCCTGGTTAAGAGGTTTGAACTTGAATTGCCTGTCATTTTAGAGAAAAATTTTTACTAAGCATTTATAGCAAAAGTCTAGCGTAGCACTTAATTCCTTTAGCTGTGGTTTGGACATCAAAATTAAAATAAAGCAGCCCCACACACAGACAGGCCCCTGTCTCTTCATGGGCCTTTTGTGTTCCCATGTTGGCCCGTGTGGTTTTACATGACTTTCCGGGACCTTTCTCCCACACACTGCAGGGGTGAACGGGGAGGGACAGTCTTCTGACGTTTGTGGAGGATTGACCTGGCTCTTCCTGCAGGCGACAAACACTAACTTGGGCATATCTCAGCTTATATCAGAGTATTTCTACGGAGTACTAACAGTAGAGTATTTAAAGAAGTTTAGTTTGCTAATACTATTTTCCTTTATATATATATATGTGTAAACATAGATTCTTGTTTTTAGCATTTAATATTGCTCTGTAGCTGAAATCGAGGAGGTTTACTGAGCAGTAAAAACTTGGTAGCAAACAAGATTCTCATGTCTTTCTTAATTTCCTTGTGCTTTTAATAGTCAGATGCAGAAGTATTTTTGATTATCAAGAAAGTACTTTTTTGCATTTGTGGATTCATCAGCCTCCAGATGGTAGAGGAGAGAGGAGAAAAGCTGAAAATCTGTAATGATGCAGAGTGCATATGCTTCAGAGCAAACTGTAAGTCATTGTGGACAGTCTGGGAAGGAGACACAGAAGCAGGGAAAGAAAAGTATAGGACAAAAGCTAGAATGACTTCAGCATTGTTTACAGCAAGGGGGACTAAGGAAAGACTACCTACAACTCTGAGAATGCTGTAAAGATGTGGTAATTTTATAGATTGGGTAGAAGCTTCCAGCTTTACCGGTGCACGTGTGAAACTGTTCAGTTGTCATAGCTTTTAACAACTACCTTTTCAATTGTTGGTTTGTTGAGAGCATCCCTTCCCCTCTGCAGCTGCCTGCCCAGCCCTCGAGTGCAGTCCCTTTGCTGCCGGCTCTGCCCCGAGTCTGGAGCGGGAAGCCCAGCCAGTGCCTCCAGATTCTGATGCTGCTGGGCTCTTTCCGCTCACTAATGCGGAGAAAAGCAGTGGTTGCTGCGGGTGTAATCCATCACGTCCCCGTTTGCGGGTTGGTTTTGGGGTCTGGCCTGTGCGTATCTTCTGTAACTAATGGCTGCGTCAGTGTTCCAGATCAAAACATGAGAGGACTTTTAGCCAGTGGTTCTGAATTGCTTGTTAGCTAATACAGGATAAGAGGTTTTCAACATTGATCCCTGTTCTGCAGTGCTACCGGTTGCAGTTTTTATCTTTCGAGTAGGTTTCAAATTATTTCTGTCTGTGTGTGTGTATATGTGCATGTTTTCATGCACGTAAAGTTTTTTGGTCACAGATATAGATGAGCCATTCTGGACAGGTAGTATGTTTTCAACTCCTGTATATAGAGCTCTGTTAGGATTTGGGATGGGGGCTAGGGAGGTGTTGGTATTCAAAGTTTTGTTGTTTGGGGTTTTTTTTTGTTTGTTTTTGTTTTTTCCAGAAAATGTAAGAAACTTTAAAAATCTTGAATAAAATATAATGGCATAAAAATCCTTTTGTTCATGTAAATTATGCAAGAGATGTCAGAAGCCACGATATCATTACCTCTACTGCCATTTTCGTCGTGTTCAGTCAAAAATATCCCTTTCCCGTGCACCGGCATTGAAGCATAAGGTACACAGTGAATTGAACAGGCCTGAAGTGCCGTCCAGTATGAGCAGGATCTCGCGCCTGTCCGCTGTGGCTGCGAGGTAAAGGCAGTGCGATCTCGCGTGACTCAAGTAGGGCTGCTCCTTCTGCTGCCTCCAGGAAATCTCGGCGAAGGGCAGCGTGGAAAGCAGCGGCCCCATTCTGCTGCACTGACGTCTCGCATTTAAATGCAGCGTGACAGCTACAAGCTTGAGGGGGGTAAAATCTTAAATTATAAATAAATGCCTATATAATATTAAGTATGTACATAACCTCGATGTCCAAAGTCGGGTGGCCTCAGGTAACTGTAATGATATTTTTACTTCCTCCTGTTGCGGTGGTAGGCAGGTCTCTGCCTTCTGGGAGTCGAGAAGAGTTTTCTCTGTTTGTAGTTTACAGTGCTTCGTTCAATCTATGTTTGCATATTGCCTCTGTACTTCAGGAAGGAGCATTTTAATTGCGTTTGCTGATGTAATAAAATCCTCCTGTTGGGGAAACAGCCTGGCAGCCAGCTTCAGTGTTGTATCCAAGACGAGGTTCGTGCTGTCATGTGGATGTAGTCCAGTGTTTTCTGCCCTCGAGTGTCGTGCGGAGCCAGGACCACCTCCTGGCTGGCAAAAACACAGAAACAACTGCCAGCGCAATGGGAAGGAAACACAAGGAAATACCGTAGCTAGAGCCTTAAACCTAGTACGACTCTTTCTGAAGGCATGCAGAAGGAATTTGCATTACCAGCAGAAGGAGAAAATCTCATGTGAACACTCTGGGTTTCTATTTTCCTGAAAGGATCTAGATAAAAGGTTGCACAGCGCATTTTCAAGGCCTCCAGGCGATTACTTAGATATCAGAGTAAAGCTTATAATTGGGGTGTAGGGAGGATGAAAGGACACAGCTAGGAACAAATTCCATTTATAACATGAAATGATTGCATAATAATCCTTTTGCATGAAATTAAATAGTAATAAATGTAGTCAAGCCATGCATTATCTGCATATCTATGCTTTTAATTGTAATGTCGTTTTTCTGTTGCCACGTATTTACCAGCTCTCTTGCTAAGGATGACTTTTGAATAACTGATTGTGTTTATATAGCTTTCTGTAACAAGATGCAAATTTGTCATCTGATGTTTGTAACTTGCCAGAAGGCCCCTTTTCCTTTAGGGAATATTTTACTTTTGATTCCTAATCATACCAAAACCATTGCAAACAGCTAAGCACAAGGTGTCCTTGGAAAATCATATTTCTTTAATAACAGTTTTCCCCCCACAAAGCTAGGCAATGTGAAGAGATTTTTTTTTTTTTTTTTTTTTAATGGCAGTGGCTTGCAGCACTAAAGTTTGCCCAGGGAAGTTGTGGATGCCCCCTCCCTGGAAGTGTCCAAGGCCAGGCTGGATGAGGCTTTGAGCAACCTGGTCTAGTGGAAGGTGTCCCTGCCCATGGCAGGGGGGTTGGAACTCGATGGTCTTTAAGGTCCCTTCCAACCCAAACCATTCTGTGATTCTATGATCTTGTGACTCCCTTAGCAAAACTCATCAGTATTTTGGGAAACTTTTTTTGACTCCAGTCTAAAACTTGGCTTTGGTTTTGGGGAATTTATGAGCTCTGTAACGGTTCATATGATGGGTGAGTGGATACAGAGAATGAGAACTCTCTCCTGCATAAACTTGGTCGTGTCAAAACACATGTATACCCATGGAGAAAAATGTCATAAAGTTTTTGTTGCCCCTCCTGTAAAACTGGGTGAGCCAGGTGTCTGCTTGGTGAGTTTGTTTTGTGTATGAGCACTCAGCAGAATTATTTTTTGACTAAAACCATTGTTGTTCATACTGAGCTGAACTGTTAGGTGAGATCTGGACACTTGTTTGTCAAACTGATCTGCACTAAATGCACAGAAGTCCTTTTTGTGGAAGTGAAATTGTACTTGTCAGGGGTAATCAGGCGATCGCTTCCCTGCCCTGTGCGTTCCAGCACGGGGGCTGCAGGCTCTGCAGCCCTCTGCTCCAGGAATGGACTGCACTGAACCTTTGCTGAGTTTTCTACAAACTCTCCCCTGAAGAACTGAAAGTGGTTTTTCTTTGATTTCCTTAACCATTTTCAGCCTTAATTTCCAAGCACTTGAGTGTGTCAGCAGTAAAGACCTACTTTGCAAACGACAGTGACGCGATGACGTCGTAGGAGGAAGCTCCCTGTGTACACAGCAGTAAAGACCTACTTTGCAAACAACAGTGACGCGATGACGTCGTAGCTCCCTGTGTACGAGGAAAGGCTATCCCTGTTAGCTGTACTTACTATGCTGCGTAGAAATGTTTCCATATACTTGCAGCTCTGTGCTGGGTTAGTCATACACACACCCTTGTCTACTAATACGTCAAGTTCAGATAACCCTGAAAGGTGGACTTAGAACCCTTGTTGCTTTGAGCCAGCACTAAAGCTGGCAGCCCGGCTTCTGCAGTCTGTGGGCAGCCTACGCTCGAGCCTGCTTACGTCAGTGCTTTACTCAGGAGGGGAAAATCAGTCAAGAGTGTTGTTTTAGAGGGGTGGGAACTGGCTAATATGTTTTAACAAACCGGAGCTTTACGATTTATTTTTTTGTAAATTGTGGTTTGATATAATTTTAAATGATTGCCTTGGATTTGATTGGTGTTCTGCTACAAGTGCCAGAAGAAAGAAGATCTTGGCTTGGTTGAATTTAGGGGGCTGTGAGGGCTGAGGGAGCTTACTAAGAGATTTCCATTTTTACCTGTGATCATCTCACTGTATGGACAGCCCTACTATGTATGGGGACTCAGAGATCATCAGTTTTAAAAGAAGAAAGACTCACTTTGCATTAGTCGTGGGGGTTCTTCAGGTGCTACACAACAGTGTGTCGTGCATCCAGGCTGAATGCAAAAAAAAAAAACCCACCTTCATATGTCACCCTGTTCAGTGTACATCAGACAAGTGGATTTTGGGTGCATAGACCTAGGCTGAATTACAGCAGGCACTCTTCAGCACGATCGCTGACGGCTCACGCTTTCTGCTAATGACATTAAACGCCATTTGGTCTTAGCTGGGTGCATCTGGATTAACGTCAATGCATTCTCTCGTTCTAGGAGCAGCTTACTGCCAGTTCATGGACATGTTGTTCCCAGGGTGCATTAGCTTGAAGAAAGTAAAGTTTCAAGCAAAGCTGGAGCATGAATACATTCACAACTTCAAACTTCTGCAAGCATCATTTAAAAGAATGAATGTGGACAAGGTAGGTGTTCTGTGCTTGTATTTCAATCGCTGCAAGTTTCAAAAGTTGTACAAACTGGGTGAAGTCAATAAATAGGGGAAACGAACTTCAAAATACTTCAAGTCCACCTTTTCGACTTTTGGACTGAGAACTGCAGTGCGAGTTGTACATGGAGACGTTCTTCTTGACCTTTCGTTATCTGAAAAGGGTATTTAGGCATGAAGGAAGAAATTTGGCATGCTCCATTTAGGTACAAAGTGAAAATTGAGTCCATGTGTCCGCTGAGGAGTTGTGCAGGCTAACTCATTATATCTTAATATCAGAGACCCTTTTGATAAAATACCATGTGTCGGAAATTCCTTACCATCAGTGAGTCTTAGATACAGTAAAATTACTGTTGACCTGAATTTCCAGCCAAATAACTTGGAAATATGCTGTTCGTATAAGCATTCTGTGTTTCTTGTCCAAAATCGGGTTTAAGGAATTTAAAGTATTCAAGAGCTGGAATAATTTATCCAATTATTTGATAGGTGGACCAGCACATGTGATCTTGTTAAGAACGAAGGGCTCCTGGAAAATGGTTTGTTCAGCCATAAGGTTTTGATTTACGCTTGAGCGTGTGATTTTGACAGACTCGCCAGTGTAAATTACTGTGTTGATAAAAATGAATAATGGAAGTTATGTTGTCATACTTTTAGTTTTATGCAGATGTATAAGGTTCTGCTCTGGCTTTTAGTGTTGTCTTATTCTGAAATTTGAACAGTCTTAGACAATGTCCTGTAAGACTTTTTTTTTTAAAGCAGTGGAAAACCCTCATTATTTCCCGAATGTTGTGCTTTTATTTACTGTGTAACTTGTTAGTGAAACATTGAAAAGCCTAATAAAGTTAACATTGTCACTTTTTCTGTGGGGAGCAAACTTGCTCTACTTACTCAATACAGGAAAGATACAAAAAGAACAACCAGAAAGGACATGCCGAGTACAATGTTGACCTTTGTAAGAGTGTTGTAGACTTACAAAATGCTGCACAGTTGGCTTAACCTTGAAGAAGAAATTAAAATTGCAATGGTTTTAGGTATCCTTTTTCCAGCTAACAATTGAATGCATTCAGGAGGCATTAAGATTCATTTAACTTGGCTCTTTAATCAGCTGCATGAATTAAGCAGGGTAGGGCAGCCTTCCTTCCCTTCGTGGTCCCTGTGTGCCCACAGCACCTGGGAAGGTTGGGCCTCCTTCAGAGCAATGCTGAACACTCTCCTTACACTGAGAAATGGCCCAAGGCACCTTTTGGGGGCTCCACTTCTGCGAAAAAATTTGCAGGATATGGCTGTGGAGACATCCCTGTAGCCTTCCTTTTGTTTTACTAAAACTTTATAGGCATTTTAGTCAACTTCTGCATGTCCCCGAATTGGACAGCTATGTGTAGCTATATATGGAATAGAAAAAAAAAATTACAAGGTTAAAACCTCAGGGTTAGTTGGTATGATGAACATGTACTACTAAAATGTAGGTTGGCTTGAACTTCAGCGTGTCTTGGAAAAGCTGCTGGGGTTTTTGTAGTTCAAACAGTAGGACAGAGCAAGAAACTCCCTGGACCTTTTGAAGCATTGTTCATTTTTAGTATGCCCAATTGTAGCATGTCCATTAAAACCAGAAATCCCTAAAGACTTGAATATAGTGTTACTCCCAGAACAGCTTCATTCATCATGGCTGTCACTGCAATAAAAAAAGAAGTAACTGCGGAAGAGCAGTTATAAAGGCTGACGTACACCCACTGTAGAGCCACTTCAAAGGCTGGGTCTTCATTTTATTTTGGGTTTATTTCCTAAGAGCACCCTCAAATCCACCATTATTTCTTTCTCTTAGGAAAAAAACAATGGCAGAGGAATTTATGCTGATACAGTTGGTAGATTTTTCTCCAAATAGGTGTGTATATGTAATTTTTATATTTAAAAATGGTAATGATATATTATTGGAACCTTTATTCTACCTTTCAGGTAATTCCCGTGGAAAAACTGGTCAAAGGGCGCTTCCAAGACAACTTAGATTTCATTCAATGGTTTAAGAAGTTCTTTGATGCTAACTATGATGGGAAGGAGTATGATCCTGTGGAAGCTCGACAAGGCCAGGACGCCCTTCCCCCACCAGATCCCGGTGAACAAATCTTCAACCTGCCCAAAAAGTCTCACCATGCAAACTCTCCGACTGCAGGTATTTTGCATCTTTGAGAATGCCGTTTCTATCTCTGGAGATACCGGGATCCATGTTATATAAACACTAGATAAGAATTATTTCCTCGTGTGGGTGGGCCACTCTTTTTGCCTTGTCGTAGGCTTAACGTCTGAGACAACAGAAGTTAACTTGTGCTGTACTTTAGTTTGGTCCAGCCCTACTGGGCGTGGGGTCTCCCCTACTGAATCCTTGATGTGAACGATATGCGTGCTAGTGATGTCTGATGGTGCAAAGGCGTTTAACCTTCTTGTTGGTGGATTTGGTGTGTGTAAGTGTATTCGAGGACGTTAAATGTAGCGCGTTTCTCTCTCACACCTCCGCACTTAGAGGGAATTGCTAGCACAGGCTGATTTCATTATTATTTTTTATGGTGAGTGAAATGCTTTCAAATCTTAAGGGCTGACCAGAAGGAAAAAATGAACCAAATTTGTGGTCTTACACATGCTTATTGTTCAGGTACGCTAGTCCTCTTAACTGAGCAACACATCCTTCTCAAAGATACCTCTGTCTTCTAACTTTTTATTTTGTGTTTATACTGGGTTTTGCTAGGATAGAGTTAACTTTCTTCCTAAGAGATTGTATGGTGCTGCATTTTGGATCTGTGATGTTGACATGTTGATGACAAAGGGATGTTTTAGTTATTGCTGAGCAGTGCTTGCACAGCATCAAGGCCTTTCCTGTTTCTGACTGCCTTGCTAGTGAGTAGGCTGGGGGTGTGCAAGAAGTTAGGAGGCGAGACAGCTGGGACAGCTGACCCCAACTGACCAGAGGGATATTCCATACCATGTGACATCATGCTCAGCAATAACACTAGAGGGAAGAAGGAGAAAGGGGGTGGACGGTTAGATTTAAGGTATTTGTCTTCCCAAGTAACCATTACACGTGATGGAGTCCTGCTTTCCTGGAGATGGCTGAGCACCTGCCTGCTGATGGGAAGTGGTGAATGAATTCCGTGTTTTGCTTTGCTTGCACGCACAGCTTTTGCTTTCCCTATTAAGTTGTCTTTCTCTCAACACACAAGTTCTTTTTTGCCCTTCTAATTCTCTCCCCCGTCCTGGCAGAGGACTAGTGAGCAAACGGCTGTGTGGGGCTCAGCTGCCTACTTGGGTTAAAGCATGACAGTGTTTCTGGAGCAGACCAAAGGACTAAGCCAGATCTTCGGTGTTTATGTAACATGGGCATAACTGGTCACTAAGCAGATGCTATTTTTGGCTAACTGAAGGGTTAAGTGAACAGGAGAGTAGGTAACATTAAAAAAAAAAAAAAATCACTAAATGAGTGTTTCTGGGATTGGTTGCCGCTACGTATATAGGCTTGTGCATACAGAAACACACGTGCACACCCACTTAATTCCTTTATTGTTCTGTCCTGGGTTTACTTTATTCATACTAACCCAGCCCTCAAATAAATGATTAATTTTCAGTTGGTTTAATTCTGTGACCTGTCGTCTCATGGGCTCAGCTACGCACCAGTGCTGCTGGCAAAGGGAAGGGGCAGGTATGAGGCACCCTCTGTTTTAGGCTGGCTGACGCTCTGGAATCATACCCAGATTTCCGTGTTCTGCTCTGATCACTTCTGACGTCAGCGGGGTATACTTGGCCAGCTGCCTTCAGCTCATTAGTGCTTCCAGGAAATTGAGTACCTAATAGCAGGCCAGTGCTGCTCTGGGCATTTAAAGCTTGTTTGCATCTTTGTTTTGCATCGTCTTGTGTCTAAACTTTTGAATTTCAGGGCCTGGTATGCTATAATTTCCCATGTGATGTCTTGCACTCCCTTAGAAAACAACACACAGCCCCCGCTCCCAAATGTCATGGTGCTATCCAACAGAGAAATTGGAAAGGACACTTTTTATTAAATACAGACTTCACCATGCTTGTTAACTCTTCTTGCAGATGGCCTGTTTGTACTGAAGTGACAAATGTGTCATCCAAATTAAAGTTGTGGAGGTGACAATCCTAGAGAAATAGCATAGCTGCTGGAGTGGAACCAGCCAGCTGATACGGAGAGTAATGCCGTGACCTCGTGTCGTGTTGCTGGCTGCATGAAGCACGTGTCCTGTGCCTCCTCCGCCCCTGTATGGAAGGGGGTGACAGAGGGAGAATGTAATGATCCTGGGTAAGATTCTGTGGTTGTGGAAGTTAGCTTTTCTTGTGGAAAGCATCCTTCATTATTAACTTAAATATCGTCCAGAAATATGACTGGCTGGACACTAGTTCAATTTTTGCTGAGCTGGGGAGGGGGGGTGTAGACATTGCATGATACGAGGTGAAATGAGGGTCGAGGCTACTATTGCTGCCTGCATTTTTAGACCAGGACTATTTCATTTTGGTGTCAGTCGTGCTTGGGTTTGTTCAGTTTCGGGGTGAGCACCTTTTCATTTCACTGATGCAATGAGTGCCTTTGCGCCTCCTCTCACCACATCATGTAGCCTGACTGCTTGGAAGGCTGAAAGCTGTTACTGGGTGCCTGTTGACAGAGAGGACACTCTGGGAGGAGTACCGTATGCCTCATCTCCCGCTGTTTGGGAGTAAATAGGGATGATGTGGAAGTAAGTCCTGCTAGGTGGGAAATTACCAGGAAAGATGTGCTTCTGTAGGTCTTGTTGTGTGTGTGTCTGTGCGTGCTCATGCACACTTCACTGGAGATGGAGTATTCATTACAGTTGATACCGGAACCATAATGTGCCCATGTCAGTAAAACAAGCTTAGCCATTTATACTAAAAAGGCAAAAAAAGTAAGGCCTCGTGAAGTTCTCCTGCATTGGGTTAGGACTTCCCCACCCCATCTGGAGTTTCCCCTTCCCTGATGACACAAGCACGAAGAAGGGAATACATGCCCATGAGTAAGTGCAACATCAGGTGGTGTAGTTTAAACTGCTGTCTCTGACTCTTAGGTTGAGGAAGGGGGAGGAAAATAAACCCAAGACTCTACGTTCTTGCATCTTCCGTGAAATGGCTGAGGTTTTGGGTTTACTTCCGCTGACTTTGTTGTGGGAACAGTAAACACTGTGGGCTGCTTGATGCCATAATCTCTCACGCCAATGCAGCAGGCATTTGCCAGCATCTGTAGCAGTTTGCAGCTGTAGTTTGCCTCTTTATTAGTACATTTTTTTTTAATGTCACTCTCTTAATTTGTGTGATTTGGTCTGCATTAACAACGAAGCTTTGACATTTTAGTACTCTCTTGTATTCAGTTCATTAGTGAAACAAAAAGATGGGATAGTGAGGAAGAAATAAATAACCCAGAAGGTCTTCCAACATAATCCAAAAGTGTGTAAACAGTGTGCAGTGGACGTACGAAAAGATAAATGCACTTATTGTTTAGTGTCAGGAGCAAGTAGACATATGGGCACTCATCCACACTATATTTTTGGTTTTGACAGACTTTTAAGTGCCCCTATTCTAAATCGATCAAATATATAAATTTCTAAAGGAATAATTGATTTAGCTGCTAGTAATTTCATGTGTGTTAGATAATTCCTGTTGTTCCAGGGAATAACTCTCCCAGTGCCCTTTGCCAGAGTTGAGTTTTTTGAGCGATTTATTTTGAGTGAAATATCTTTAATCATTCATAACTACTTTGTAACACTCTTCTAACTCTGTATTTTCAGAGGTAAGCTAAGATATGCCTTTCAGCTAAGAAGAAAGGGGTCAAATCCCTAAAGCCTGTTCTGAAAGCTTGCCCAAAACGGTAGCTGCCATGAGTTAGGATTATTTTTGGTATTTTAATCTGACACTAAAGCTTGACAAGATCCGTGGTATCAGGTAGCTGCTTTCCACGCCTATACGTGGGCATTTACCTGTATCTCTGCAAATGCCGAGTGTGGTCTTTATTTATTTTTTTAAAAATGCTTTTAAACCAAACCAAAACTCAAGAAATCTGTTGATGCACTGGGTTTGGTGTTAATCGGGGGGTGGTCCAACAGCCATGGCCCTACCCCTCCCAAAGGCGATCCGACTGAGGAGTCAGCACAGGTCAAGGATAATGCAGCTTGGAAAGGGAAGCGTAAATAGGTCCCTACAGCTAATCTGCTGTGCCACCCTCGCGGTACCTCGTCCCTTCCTCGGGAGACAGAGCCAACCTGTTGTCGAGCTGATGGCTGGGCAGAGGGTGGATGGCTTCAGTTACACACGTAAAAGGCTTCTTCTAGAAATAATAGGAGCAGTGAGGATTTTCCAGGTAAATACAGCTCCCTGCTGGGGGAATGAGTATGTTTTCATCCTTGGAGGCGCGGAGCCAGCCGCGCAGACCACCGCTGCAGGCTCGCTGCCAGCAGCACCACAGCTGCTTTTAGATGGAATGCCATCTGCCAGCCCGCAGCCGCCTCTCCATCTCCTCTCCCACGCGGTGGTAAACAGCCTACAGATGTAGAGTCGAAATTATGGTAAGGGATTAAAATATTAGGGCGCTGTTGTTTGTGCCAGTTCTAATGCTCCCCGTGGAAAGCAGCAGAAAAAGCTTCATCTGATCGAATCGAGAACGGTGATGAGGTTGTCGGGATTTTAGCTTTAGTGCCTTATGTAAGTATTCCCGTGTGTCAGAGCAAATCTCCGTGGAGCACTGCTTTGTGTGTGGGTGTGGGGCGTCAAAAACACACGTGTAAAAGACAGATTAATAAAATTAATTATTTACACATAAGCTAAAAATGCGAGAGTTTCTTGGATCTGAAGGCTTTTAGACATTCTAGTTTGAAATATTCAGTGAGAGCAGAATGACTAAAGCAGAGCTGGAAAATACTGGAGGATCACATGAGGGCTAAAAATACTCACGCTATGACAGGGAAAATAACCAGGGCAGAATGAACTGTTTGTGCATGAATGCTTTATATATAATGTGCGCACCACCAAAGAGCCAATTGCACAAGAAAAGTACCAATTTTCTTTAGGGAAATGGTATATCCTGCTGTGACAGATGTGCTGTGAATTAGTTTTGAGGGATAAAAATACTCAACAAAACCAGTCTTTATTTTAGCAGCTAGT